CTCTGTGTAGTTTTGCACCTTTCCTGGAACTCACTTTGTCGACCAGGCTGGCCTTGAACTCACAGAGATCTGCCTGCCTCTGCCTCCCAAGTGCTGGAATTAAAGGCGTGTGCTACTACCTCCTGGCAATAGCTGGCTTTTTTTTTTTTTTTCTTTTTTTTTGGTCTTGGGTTCCATCTTTTTCTCTCCTTGCTCGCCCCTCATATGAGGCAGCTCTGGGCTCCCTGCATGAACCCTTCCTTCACACCATTACTAACCCTTCCAGAAGCTCCAGCAGGCTCTCCTCCAGGCCCCAGCACTTTACCTCCCAGACCTAACTCGTCCCTCTCCCTCTATGAAACAGAAAGAGAGGGATTTGCCCTTGGAACCCTAGAGCTCTAGCTGAGACTTTCCTGTGCCCCTGTAGCACACCTGTCAAAGAAGCTAGATCTTACCACTCAGGGATGGGCACCTTGCATTCATGCTTTAGTTTCATGTAATATTATAGGACCTGCCTTAATATCATATTTCCCAGGGGCCCAGAAGAGACGCTACCAATGGCAGGGGGGTGAATCTAGTTACACATTTATTCGTCTGCCACCAAAATTCTGCCTGGTTCTCTGGAGACTGGTCTATATCTTTCCCATGACAGCAACACCTTTATGTTTACAACACAAGAATTGCAAGATCCCCACCAGAAGCTCCCTGGCAACTTCATTTGCAACCCAAAAAGGGGAAGAGAATAAAGGCAGAGTTAGATAGGAGTTGGAATAAATCAGAGAAGGTATTTATGTGCTAGAAATCTATCCTTACTGTGGTTAGGTGAAAACATCATGAATCTATCATAAATGTGCTCAAACTACAAACTTACATACAGGTGATAGGGTAAAGAAATCTATAAGTCGCTAAAAATAAAACCGCCTCTATTGTTCTCTGTACCAGTTTTCTGCCAGGGCAGGGGAGGAGTACTGATAGTTAGTCAGTCTGCATCACAGCTTGAAGCACCCGGTGAGAGGAAACCCCTTTGATCTAAGAAGTTGCTCTGGGGCAGTGGAAGATCTGAACTTGATTTGCACAAAAAACAAAGCTATGCACCTAGGAAGCCAGGCACTTGGCCTGGAAGCCAGGTTGACTCCGAAAGGATGTTTTACCTAGTTTAGGGGCTTCAGACGCCTAGCAGGTGGTCTGGTAGCTGTTCTGTTCCTCTCTTGTCTTTTTTTTTTTTTTCATTTGTTAATTTATGTGTATGTGTGTATATGCCTACATGAGTTTATGTGTATTATGTTCATGCAAGTGCTTGAGGAGGTCAGATCCTCTGGTGCTGGAGTTATAAACAGTTGTGAACTGCCATGTGGGCTCTGGGAATTGAACCCAAGTCCTCTGGAGGAGCAGCCAACTGTCTTAACTGCTGAGCCATCTCTCCAGTCCCCCTTTCTTGTCTTTTAATGCTTTTGGCTAAAAGGAAGTGTTTGCAAAAGGCAAATACCCAATTCAGATGCTAAAAAAGGGAGTCAGGAGCTCTGAGCCAGAAAGTTCTACTCACATGACTTTATCCAAGTACTTGAGCGTACATACACACATTCTGGGAGAATTATGAGCACAAGGAATTCATAGCAAGATGCAGCTGAGTATTAAGGCTGTGTAACACCAAATATTCCGTGACAAATGGCTTTCCATTTGACAGACTCTTAGCCAGTCAAAGTATAGCTTATTATATACAGCTGGGCTTTCTATTCCATATCCATGTGGCTTATGACACTTTGGCAGCTGCTGAGCTTCTTATTTGGGAATCAAGCTAACCTTTGGGTCATCCACCACTATCTTCTCTCACCATAACCTGTCCCATCTCTTCACTTATAAAGGCTTACAAACTTTACCTCCTTCCTGGGTTCTTTCTCTCCAGGTGGCATTACTGGGAGATGCCACACTTACTTTCCAGACTTGTCCACCCCCAACCCACATTTGGGGTCAGTTCCTTCTTCTCCCTCCATGCCAGTGCCCCTGCCCCTTTCCCCTATATGGTAGGGACCCTTCAAGGTAATTCTTGTAACCCCCACAGCTGCTCACCTGAAGTCTTTTTTTTTTTTTTTTTTTGGATTTTCGAGACAGGGTTTCTCTGCGTAGCTTTGCGCCTTTCCTGGAGCTCACTTGGTAGCCCAGGCTGGCCTCGAACTCACAGAGATCCACCTGGCTCTGCCTCCCGAGTGCTGGGATTAAAGGCGTGCGCCACCACCGCCCGGCCACCTGAAGTCTTTTATCTTACCCTTCGCCACAAGGAGAATTCTTCCTCATGCACAGTGACACAGACAGGGCCCTACTCTCTCAAGTTCCAGAGGACACCAGGATCGACTGCCTTGTCACCAATTACAGAAGAATGTGGTTTCACCTCACAAGCTTTTCCTTCCTGGTTCCCTCTCCTAATTAACTACTCAGCTAATTGTTACAGGATCATCATAGAGCTGGAGGCCAAGGACCATCAAGTATACCCAGGCAGTAAGGAACAGTAACAGTCCAGAGGTATTTACACCCCCAGACCCAAAAGGGTCTGGACTCTGCAAAACACAGACTTTAATTATAACAATCTATTCCTGTTAAATGCCCTCAGCAATTGATCACCTGTGTCTCCTGGATGCTAAACTAATAAAGAAAACAGATGCCTTAAAATTTGTCTCAGATAAGGTTTATCTCAGGTAAAAATTAAAAGCATGTTCCAAGTTTCTCTCTCTCTCTAACACTAATCAATAAGATTTTGATAGCAGAGTACTAAACATTATGATATCATGGCTACCAGCTCAAGATTTTAAATTCTTCTGTGAGCTGGGCAGTGGTGGCACACGCCTTTAATCTTAACACTTGGGAGGCAGAGCCAGGAGGATCTCTGTGAGTTCAAGACCAGCCTGGGCTACAGAGTAAGTTCCAGGACAGGCTCCAAAGCTACACAGAGAAACCCTGTCTTGAAGAAAAAAAAAAAAATTCTGTGGCTGCTTCTTCTTCTTCCTCTTCTTTTTTTAAGATTTATTTATTTATTACATATACAGTGTTCTGTTTGCATGTATCCCTGCAGGCCCCAGAAGAGGGAGCCAGATCTCATTACAGATGGTTGTGAGCCACCATATGGGTGCTGGGAATTGAACTCAGGACCTCTGGAAGAACAGCCAGTGTTCTTAACCTCTGAGCCACTTCACCAGCCCCCGTGGCTAATTCTTAATATGGTTAAAAATTCTTCCGAGCTTCAGAGCCAGCTTGAATCCACCTGGGCAGGTCAGATCTACTCCAGATAAGTATAACTCAAACTTTGCTGGTCCCAGGATGCCCCCTCCCTCCCCCTGGGAACCCTCGGGGACCCTCCCCCAGGCAAAATTTTCTAAACCACCTCTTCTGCCCCACCAGCACCTTGTCAGACCCAAACAGTCACAGAGCCCTAAGCAGCGGAAGGCAATGGACAATTCCCAAAGCAGCAGAAGACAATCCACTACCTCAGGACATCTGGCTACCTCAAAAGCTCCCTTCCCTACCCCCAAGAGTTAGCCGATGCCCACCCAGTCAGCTGGAAGCAGTTTTGGCAGACATGGTGCCCCTATTCCTGTTCACCTGCCATCTTTTTCAGGAACAAAGAGTCTGGGATGATAGAATTCCTAGCCACTCCCCCATGACCACGAATGTGCTGGCAAGACACTTAGCCATCCTGGGAACTTACTTCCTATGTAGTCTGTGTACTGTGTGGTCACGTAATTTGTACGCACTGTGATCTGATCTATGCACAAGCGTGGTGTAGCTACATAAGCCCATATACTCATGCTCAGGAGAATCCATAAAAGTGGACCCCACACACCCTTCCCCCTTCCTGCACAATCTTTCAATAGGCCTAAGCACATCTCTTCTGTCCCCCTTTCCCTAATAAACTCTTATAGTGAGTTTTGTTGTGCCTCATGGCTGTTTGCATGATAAACAGTGCAGCATAATAAATAACACTCCCCCACCCCCTTACAGAGATTCTCTGTGTAACAGCTCTGGCTGTCCTGGAACTCATTCTGTAGACCAGGCTGGCCTTGAACTCACAGAGATCCGTGTGCCCCTGCCTCCCGTGTGCTGGGATTAAAGGTGTGTGCCACCACCACCTGGCTATAGCAGGGATTTTAAGAGCAGAGGCTGTGGGTAACCAGTGTGAACATGCATTTAGTTAGCATAGTCCAGAGATGCACATAGCAAGTTGGAGACCAGTCAGAGCTACATGGGACCTTGTCTTTAAGAAGAGGCAAAGGGGCTTTGTTTATTGGAAAAGAAGAATATAAGAATAGCATCTCAGCCGGGCGGTGGTGGCACACGCCTTTAATCCCAGCACTCAGGAGGCAGAGGCAGGCGGATCTCTGTGAGTTCAAGGCCAGCCTGGGCTACCAAGGAAAGGCGCAAAGCTACACAGAGAAACCCTGTCTTGAAAAACCAAAAAAAAAAAAAAAGCATCTCCAAGTGCTCTGTAGACAGCACCTGACCAAGATGCAGTATAAAAGTTAATATAGAAGGCCAGACATGGTGGCACATACTCGTGATCCCAGAATTTGGGAGGCAGAGGCAGGGGGACTTTGAGTTCAAGGCCAGCCTGAGATTACATAATGAGACTGTCTCAGACAATCAATCAATCAAAGAAATAAATGGAAGGAACATGACTGAATGAGGACAAATATTTAAAACTGATTTAAATGTTTCATTCCCCCCCCTATCCCCCATGACAGGGATTCTCTGTAACAGCCCTAGTTGTCCTGGAGCTAGCTCTGTAGACCAGGCTGGTCTTGAACTCACAGAGACCCTCTTGCCCCTGCCTCCCGTGTGCTGGAATTTAAAGGCATGTGCCACCATTGCCCAACAAAATGTTTCATTCTTAAATACAGGGAGAGTAGTTCTTCAGTAGTTCTGTACAAAACAGTTGATGCCTGCCTGTAATCCTAGCACTCTTAAAAGTTTAAAAAAAAAAAGAGAAGAGAGAGTGAGCGAGCTTGGGTTTATATAAAAACTCACTGGCCACCTTTAAGGAGGACAGCATTTATTTAGTTACAGGTAAATAAACAACTTGGGTATGCGAAGGGCAAACAATAAAGCGTACGATGTGACCACACAATTAACCAGTGAGAATATCTTCAGAACACTGCGGTATGACCAGAGAGCCATTTGTTTTTTGTTTGTTTTTGCAAGCAGGTCTTGCTTCAGTCTTGCAGGGACCTCTGATTCAGTAGAAGCCACTGCACCCTCAAGTACAGTATATGCACACATAGAAACCCGAGCAATCTAACATGGATGCAGCTCCAGTTGGGCCAATGGGCAGAAAGTTGGCATCTCAATGCAGAGTAAGCAATGCAAGCGTCCTCTGTCATGGGCCATAGCACCGTTTGGCACACTTAACACTGCCTCCTGTTAACTGATGTTGCAGACAGTGAGAGTAGCGAAGTAATGTAGTTTTAATAATACATAACATGTTTAACGGTTCCTAATTGTATGGTAAATACGTATACACATGTACATGTATGTGTGTTTGTATGTATTTAACAAGAAAATAAATATCACTGCTTCAGCTTTAAAGATTATTATTTATTTATTTTTAAGATAGATTCTCATTATGTACCTCAGGCTGTCCTAGAATTCACTCTGTAGACCAGACTGGCCTTGGACTCTGCCTGCCTCTGCCTCCCAAGTGCTGGGATTAAAAGTATGCACCACGTCTGGCTAATATTACCTTTATTAAAACATCAAGATGTGCTACAGGTATGATGATAAAAACCAGCTCTTTGGGCAGGTGTGGAGGCAGAGACAGAGAGGAAGAGAAAGACAGGTCTCTGTGATTTTGAGGCCAGCCTGATCTACATAGTGAGACCCTGTCTCAAACAAAACAAAACAAAAACCAAGCATGTCTTTGTGTTAAACCAAATGGAGCGCAGCATCTAAATGACCATTTATCTAACTTCTGGGCCACGCTCACATCATTGGAAGTAATGACGTGTGTGGATCAGCAGGGCCTTTGGGGCTCCTGTCTATTAGCCAGCCTGCTCACTACTGATGTTATCTGGGTGGTTTCATGGTACAACCCTTTTCCCTAGTCCTTAGGGCAGGAGACAGGGGAGATGAAGCAGAAGGAAACTGTTTGTTTAATTACCTGTTAACATCCGGGAAGCTCCCCTTGCATTCTGGCTGAAAGTTAGACATTGGGAGCATTCTACAATTCCAGTTCCTAGCATTCCTGCCTTTAATTATCAAAGGTAATTGATAATGGATTAATTTTAAGTAAATTTGACCCAAGACAATGGCAGTTCTGTTTGATGAGCAAATTGTGAGTCAAAGTTTCTTGCTTTTGGCGTGGAGATGAAGGTCTTGAACACATCAGGAAAGTGCTCTTATCACTGAAGACACCCCCAAACCAGCAAGTACACATTTAAGTCATTTAAAGGTATGTATAAATAAGTAAGGCAGTCAGAAATTTTAAAACGATCCTGGGAAGAACATTCTGTAGTCTGAAAATGCTTTAGCTTTAGAAAAATAGAGATCTCAGCTTAGGAAGAGTATTTTGATTTTGTGATGTCCCAGATCAGACATCTTCATGTATGAAACCAACAAAGAGAACTATTTTGAAAATTGTGCCAGGTCCAGACAAGTGAATAATCTATATGGCAGGAGGCACCAGAGCTGGGCTATTTGGCACCACACCCCAGTGTCAGGTACATGGACAGGTACAAGGCAATCCATCTAAAATCCTCACAGCTTGATTCTTTTTTGTTTTTTTGAGACAGGGTTTCTCTGTGGAGCCCTGGTTGTCCTAGAACTCACTCTACAGACCAGGCTGGCCTTGAACTCAGAGATCTGCCTGACTCTGCCTCTTGGGTGCTGAGATTAAAGGAGTGTGCCACCACTGCCCAACTCTTAAAAAAAAAGATGGTTTACTCTAAGACGATGGCATGAATCAAAGTGTGCGAACCGTAGCCCTTGATGTCATAGTCATGTGCACTAAGAAACACATACCGCCAAGGACATCATTCACAGACCACTCGGGAAGGATTTGTGTTGAGTTCAGCTTATGGCTGAACTCATCTTCTTTGACACAATAAACTGGGTTAGAAGGAAGGCCAATTTCATTTCTAAGGAAGAGTTAGAAACTGTACTTCTTAGCTACAGAATTCTTTCATAAAAATATAAACTGTTTTTTAAAAATTGTATTAAATTGTATTACTTATTAAAAAAAGATTTGTTTTTGCATTTTATGTGTATGGGTGTTTTGTCTGAGTTATGTATGTGTGCAACATGTGTGCAGTGGCCACAGAGACAAGAAGACGGCATCTGAGCTTCTGGACCTGGACTTACACACGTTGTGAGCCAACTTGTGGGTGCTGGAGGCTGAACTCTGGTCCTCTGCAAGAGCAGAAAGTGCTCCTAACCTCTTAGCCATCTCCCCAGTCCACAAGTTACAGAACTTTTGAAATGATAGCCTGCCTTTGTATGATATTAGAGACCAATAACTCCTTGTAAGAGTAATTTATGACACCCAGTCATATTCTCATGCTCAAAGCCCATTTATCTGGATCCTTTGTGGAGATACAGACTCTGGGGTTTTACCCTGCAAAGAAGTGGTTGAGTTGCAAAGCTTTTACTTCCAGTCTTTGTATGTAAAGTCCTAGTCCCAGCGGATGACAGGAGGAGGGGGAGGAGAGGAAGAGAGGGAGGGAGAGAGAGAGAAGGTAGAGACTTCTCTCTCTCTCTCTCTTCCTTTCTTTCTTTCTTTTTTTTTTTTTTTTTTTTTTTTGAGACAGGTTTTCGTGTAGCCCAGGCTGGCCTGGAACTCACTAGGTAGCAGAGGCTAACCTTGAATCTCCAGTCTTCTTGCCTCCACCTAGAGGTGAGATGATAGGCATTTGCCACCATGCCTGGTTTAAGTTTTCATCAGGGCACCTGTATCAACTATTTAATAAGCTCTAAACACCATCATCTCTAAGACATACGCCATTCTAATCACTTCTGCCCCCTCCGGAGGCCATGATGCTCCAGGTGAGAGAATGACAGCGGCATTTACCGCCAGTGACCACACAGAGCGCCCCCTAGCGACCAGGTGAGGTAGGCTGAGGCGAGGACTCAGGAAGTGTTGCAGGACACTAACTAAACATGTGCACCGTCTGTGTACTTTCTTCTGGATTGTTCTAACATCTGAATACAGGGTTGAATGAGCAAAAAGAGTATTCCTACCATGTAAAGCAAGCCACAGATATAAAAGGAAAAATCATATTTTTGTGTGATGTCGAAGATCCACCCTACAAAAACAAAAAAATACAGATATATTCAGTATGACACGGTTTAAGACAAAATTCAAAGATATAAACCAGGCATTTATCGCTACTTCAAATTTTTTTTTTTTGTTTGTTTTTTGTTTCTCTGTGTAGCCCTGGCTATCCTGGAACTTGATCTGTAGATCAGGCTGGCTCAATTTTTTTTTTTTTTTTTTTTGAGTTTGGGCTAGGGATTGGGGATGTAGCTCAGTGGTGATCACTTGCCTAGCACACATTAAAGCCAAGGCTCAGTCCCCAACACTGCCCCTCCAATTTTTTAACTTTTCTTTGTGATGATGGGCATGGAACCCAGAGCACTGCACGTGTGGCCGCCCCGGGCTGCAGGGCCAGGCCTCATTCAGAATTTTTTTTTTTTGATACAAGATCTTACACATTATACTGAAGGCTGGTCTCAAATTCACTATGGGTTGTTTCATTATTCTTTAATCTTTAACTTTTTTGTTGTTGTTGTTTGTTTGTTCTTGAGACAGGGTCTCACTATGTAGCCCTGGAACTGACTACATAAACCAAGCTGGCCTAGAACTCACAGAAATCCACCTGCCTCTGTCTCTCAAGTGCTGGAATTAAAGGCGTGCACCACCGTGCCTGGCTGTTGTTATTTGTTTTTAGTTTATTGTGTAAGTGTGTGAACTTTATGTACCGTAATAATGTGCTATGTGAAGGTCACAGAACACTTTGTAGAGTGGATCCTCTCCTTCCACCAGGGAGCTAGCTCAGGTCATCCAGCGTGTGGAACTTACGTGGCAAGCACTTTGCCCACTGAGTTAGCTCGTCATCCCTATTAAATGTGTTATTTGACTTAAAAATAGGAGACTGCGGGTGTGGCAAAGGCAGGTGATCTCTGTGAGTTTGAGGCCTGCTTAGTCATAGCAAGTTCCAGGCCAGCCAGAGCTACCCAATGAGAACCTGTCTCAAAAACAAAACAAAAGTCAAAAAACAAACAGCAAAAAGGAGACTAAAATAAAGGTCATATTCTTTAGATGTGGCTTAGTAAAATGCTCTTGTCCTTTCTCCATCTGCAATCTAAAACAAGATTAAGCACATAATCCAAAAATGAAATGATTGAGCTTCGGAATCTGAAAGCCATACTGACATTGACATCTTAACAAATCCCCACCAACTTCTGCTCAGTGACACCAGCTGCCTCCAATGGGACTCCTGTGAGGGATGACCGGCGTGTGTAAGTGAAGACGCTGTAGCTGGAGAGTGGTCTGTATCTACCTATCTACCTAGAAACAGGGCGGGTGAAGGTACGGGATGTAATTTGAAAGTTAGAAGATCAGGGCAGGGACCTGGCGGCACAACAGGTCTGCCATCCCAGCTCCTGGAAGAATGTAAATCCAAGGTCTGCCTGGGCTACAGAGTGAAAATTAGCCAAGTTTGCCTCACACCTCTAATCCCAGTACTTGGAAGGCAGAAGCAAGGCAGACCTCTGGGGGTTCGAGGCCAGGCTGGTCTGCATAGTGCATTCCTGGCAAGCTATAGCCACACAGTGAGACCCTGTCCCCAATAGGAAAAAATAAAAAAATGATTGGTGATGCATGTAGCCCAATGGTGATCACTTACTTGTTTAGTATATGAAGAAGCCCTGGGTTCAATACCCAGGGAGGCCAGAAGAGGATGTGGGTTCTCTGGAGCTGGAGTGGTTGTGAGTCACCTGATGTGGGTGCTGAGAACTGAACCTCTGGACGAGCAGCAAGTGCTCTTAATCACTGACTCATCTCTTCATCCCCCATACTGGGAGGTGAACCTAGCTAGGGCCTCACACTTGCCAGAGACATGCTCTACCACTTTGCTACATCTTCAGCCGTGTGAACTACCTATGTAGCTGAGGATGGGTGAGCTTTCCTGACCAGGCATGCACCATTACGCCCGGTTGTGATCTCTGTTCTTTGATTTGGAACTTGGGACCTTTACAATCCTTTCACCCATTAACTCAAAGCAATAGCTTCAAAGTGAGACCGGGTTCCCGATTCAGTTGCCCTCCCTTTCCATTGGAGTGTGCCCAATGAGAAGGATAGGTGTCTTTCTCACCAATTAAATGGCTCCCAGCTCTTGGGCAACACTGAAAATGCTTGTTAGGGTGCTAGATTTTATTCAAGCGAGGGTTAGCCATGTAGATACTCAAGCTAGCCAAATCTGATTAGCTGGATTTTGTTAGAAAGTATTTTGAAAACACCTAGACTACAATGAAAACAGCTACTACTATGACATCTTTTAAGGAGAAATGAATACCCAGCAATGTTATTTTAAGCTGTGTTACTTTTGTTTATATTGCCTTTGTCTAACTCTGTGAAGCTGTGTTACTTTGCCTGTCTAGAACACCTGCTGGTTTAATAAAGAGCTGAATGGCCAATAGCAAGGCAGAAGAAAGGCGGGGCTGGCAGGCAGAGAGAATATATAGAAGGAGAAATCTGAGAAAGAAAGAGAAATAGCCAGAAAAGGAGGAGGACTCCAGGGGCCAGCCGCCCAGCTACACAGCAAGCCACAGAGTAAGAGTAAGAGAACAGGAAAAGCCCAGAGGCAAAAGGTAGACAGGTTAATTTAAAATTAAGAAAAGCTGGCAAGAAACAAGCCAAGCTAAGGCCAATCATTTATAAGTAATAATAAGCCTCTGTGTGATTTATTTGGGAGCTGGGTGGCAGGCCCCCCAAAAGAGAAAAAAAAAAACAACAACATGTTATAAAATGAACTAGATTGAAGTTGATGTTGTCTACTGTCATGGTTGAAATGGCTGTGTAATGTTTTGAATTGCATGCTTTCCCTAAATTGAAATACTCAAGTGGCTAATGTGGCACTACATTGTACCAGGTTTGTAAATGGGACTAGAAATCTCCCTGAAAAAATGGGAAACATGTTTGTTTCTGAAATCACAAAAAAAAAAAAAAAAAAAAAAAAAAAAAAAAAAAAAAAAAAAAGGTAATTGGAGAAGTAATTTTCTCTGCTGCACGCTATGTAGCATTTAAGCCCATTTGGGATGTCTAGCAAGAACTGAATGAACTGAATGTGTGAATGAATGTGGTTATTTAGTCGATCCTATTGCCAGGCACCCTGACCCCATGGTGCACAAATGCTGGGCCCGCATCACATTATGACTTTAGTTTCTTGGCCTGGAGAGTAATTAAACATTCTTCAGACAGCCAACGACTGTTCTTCAGTGTATGAATCAGTGGGAGGAGAGGAGGCAGCAGACAGGAGGAGAAAAGGCCCTTCAGACCTGACGGATGGGGATACAAGCCTGGAGTCCCCACAGAAGTGAGGGGAGGTGCCCACAGAAACTTTTTTCCTTGGCTATTTTTATTGTGGTAGTGTTTTTTTTTTTTTTTTTTTTTTTTTTTTTTTTTTTTTTTTTTTTTTTTTT